TATTATATTTATTATACAAATTATAAGATATGATATTTAAACTTCATTATGTTTTTTTTTAAACTCTTTGACTTACTAATTTTAAGAAAGAGATAACTAAAATGGACTTTGTAGTTTCAATTTAATTTAATTTTTTATATTTTACCGGGTACCCGTGAACCGAACCGTGGTTACCCGCTTTAATACGGTTCGGTTCGGTTCGGTTTTTTTGTTAATACGGTACGGTTTCGGTTAGTGCGCATCAGGTACCCGCCCCGTGGTCACGGTTTACAATTTTATTACTATTCGAACCGAACCGCCCCGTGAACACCCCTAACATTAACCATGAAAAAAAGTTTGTATTTTTGGAAATGAGAATAGTTGAAGAAGCAAGTAATGCCATGACATTAAACTGGATCATCATCGAGGCATGTAAAAATTACCATATTATACCCATCAAAGATCTTCTTGCAAGTTATAGAAAGAGTTAAACACCAACCAAAGAAAAGATGAAGAAATAACCACCTTTGTATTTATTTGGGTTCTCTTGGGAGGCTTGGAAGATCCTTAAGGTTTAAGTTCACAACCAATATGAACTTAAAGAGGGCATGTGGAAGCAAGTAATCTCCAAATCTTCAAAGCAAAACTAAAGAGAATGAGAGAGAAGAAACTAGTTTCGGACACTAATTGGGAAAAAGGAATGGTGCACTCATTCAAGAGTGCAAGCCTCTTATCTATATGTGTAACATCCAGATTCCCAGGTATCCTATTTTGAGTATTCATATTGAAATTTAGAGAGGAACTCGGCGAGTAGGCGCTCAGACTCGTCGAGTGTGATCGCGCATTTCTGATCTGATTTAATGAAGGACTCGGCGAGTCGATGGATGGACTCAGCGAGTCTGCGCTGTTAAGTGAAAACCCTAATTCTCAGGGCTTGCGCCCTATTTAAAGGCCTTTATAGCCTCCATTGCAGCCATTTCACCCCTAAGAACCTAGAGAGAGAGAGAGTGTGTGTGTGTGTTTGTGGTGCTTGAGGAAGGCTAACTCACCATTTATTGATTGTTTTAGCAAAAGAAAGGTGGTTCCATCAAGAGGACGTCAAGGGGGTTGCGGATCTAAGGTTGTCTAGTTCAGATCTACACTATTGAGGTATCAAATCGAACTTCCCTTCTGTTTTGGGTTAAAATCTATGATTTAAGGTTTGCTATAAACCTTTTAAGACTGGAAAGGTTGAGTATATGGTCCTTTGCTGGGTTAAACCTCAGATCTGGACCCATAGATCAAGATGCCTCCAAGAAGAAGACCCAGCTCAAGGAACAACAATCTTCCTCCACCACCTTCTCCATTTGATCCCACCATGTTCCAAGCAGCGGTTACTGCTGCTGTGGCTGCTGCTATGTCACAAATGAACCCCGACGGTTCCGGTGGGCCAGGAGGTGGCACTCAGCCCCAAAACCAGGAAGGTAATCAGGGACACCGGAAGGAGTGTTCCTACAAAGATTTCATGAACGCGTAACCCACACCTTTCAATTGCACTGGAGGTGTTATTGCTCTAACTCGATGGTTTGAGAAGATCGAATCTATTTCGAAATCTGTGTTTGTTCTGAAGCTGACAAGGTGAAGTTCGCCGCCTGCATGCATATATATATATATATATATATATATATATATATATATATATATATATATATATATAATAAAGTTGAAATCAAAAATATATAAAATATATAAAAGAAGAAAAATAAAGTTAAAATGCCATATTGTCTAATTTTTTTTTTTTTTTTTTGCAAATTATGAATTTGGACTTTAAACATAGATTTTACAAGAAAGATAAAATAGCTAATAGAACTGATTAAATGAGAAAAATGATAACTTTAGGTAAAAGTTATAGCCATAGCCAACCAAAAAGAAAAACATTAGGCTTTTTCGCAAATGTAAACTTTAACTGTTATATTATCAGTCCTGTCATATTTTCTTGAGCTTTCACTGGCATCGCACTAAACCTCCCCTTTCCACGTCATGTTTACATGTTCTCCTCCCCTTTATATTATAATTATAAATAAATAATAAATAAATATGTAATTTACTCTTCAATTTAATATGACGAGGACAAAATTCGAAGACAAAAAAAACCCATAGCACACAACCCCCAAAGCATTCGTGCTGTTCATTCGGTAATCCCATTTGGCCTTTGCCACGCATTTGACTCTAGCTCTTTTGATTCTTTAGCAAATCGGAGTTCCATTGATCGGAAACGTCACTCAGGTTAGTTTAGACAATTTGGTTATCTTTATGTGTTTCATGAAATGCATTTTGAATTGTTTGCTAATTTGAGTTTCGTTTGCTGTGATAAGTATCCATGTTACTTGAAATGTTTTGATTATCTAATTATTTGGTCTTTTTGTGGATTTTTTCTGATGTCTTATGATAGTTGGATAATTGATATAGAGTATCATTCAAGCGTTTGGATTATCTAGGGTTTGTTGGAATTTGGTGTTTTTGCTTCAACACAGGAAAAATCATTAGCGTAAGGAGAGATAAATAAAGGAACAATTTTACCATGTGGCTGATCTGCCTTTTTCTTTTTTAAGAGTATTCATTTCTGTTGAACTGCTAATTAGATTGTATATGCTATAGATATTTTGTGCTTGTTTTCATTTGCGAATCCTGTTGATTTTCTCTTTTGCTGTTTACAAGTGCTGTATGATTATGTGCAATTTGTATTTTACCAAGAATATTTTTTTTTTTTGTCTTTTGATAATGTAGAAATGGATATGACAAGGAGAGTGACTAGAAACCAGAATGATGATGTTGCATCTATCAGTAAGACTATCAAGACTAATGATGTGAGAACTTGGTCATACCTCAATCATGACATGCTTTTATTAGTTATGATGCAACTTGGGGTCATCGATTTTGTTGCTTTTAGTGGTGTTTGCAAGTCATGGAGATCAGTAGCACTCAGTAACAGGAAAAGTTTTATGGCATCCAAACCACCGATGCTGACGCGTATCTCTGGTGAACTTAATAAGGATAAGAAATTCCGCCTAGAAGACCATGAAGGAAGAAAGTTTAAAACCATAATTCCCCATTCTGTTGACTGGTACTATGAAGGACTAACTTCTTGTTACATGATCTTGTTCAGGTGGAATACCAAGGAATACTGGCTTGTGAATCCAATCACTAGACAAGACTTTATTTTCCCTCCTATCCCTTGGGAGACTGATTATGGCTCCAGATCTGTTCTTGTCTTTTCACCTTCAATCTCTAAAATGGTGTTTGTTGTGTTAGCCCAGAAGCAAATATGGTTTTCTATAGAGGATGAGGGAACATGGAATCATGTCTCCTCTTTCGACCTCAAATTTTGTAGGGATTTACATGTTTTTAAGGGGAAGATATATACCGTAGACACAAATAATTTTAATTTATGTGAATTCAGACTCAATCCTGAGCCCAAAGTGACATTGCTTGAAACCAAGAATCTTCCGGAGGATCCGGAAATACTTTTTCCGCAGCTTGTAAGTTGCGGTGAAAACCTTTATGTGATGGGAAGCTCAGTATACGCAGAAAAATTCAATGTCTTTAAACTAGATTTTGGTGAAATGGAATGGGTGGATTTTGAAGATACAAGAGACGAATGTGGTTTCTTTCTAAGCGAGGAGAATTATAGTGCTGCTGTTAAACCAGAGTTGTGGGCTGACCCTTGGTCACATTATGAGGCATATGATATTGATAATGGAGGTGAACATGAGAGAATATTGTTTTCTGCAATCGAAGGGTGGTATTTCCCGCATGAATGTGATAATGTTAATCTCATAGAAGAGTCATGACTTTGAAATGTGGCTAATGCATCTAGTTTAATTCATATCAAATTATCTTTTAGCATTCTTATGATTGAGATGATGGTGCTCTTTTTATGGGTGGGGTGTTGTAGTAACTTTTTTCTGATATCTGTTGAAAATCCCTATAGATTATTAATAGGGACCATGGATCTTCCCTATAGATTATTAATAGTATTTTTTTTTTCTGATATCTGTTGAAAAAAAAAAACATACAGCAAATAATTAAAACATAATAAGTAAACCAATGAAACCAATATTATCAAATCAACAATATGCTTCCATGAAGAACAAAGGAAAACATGGAACAAATTCTAAAATTTCTTGTATGGTTTGTAAGCCCAAAACATGTCATAAGTATGGTATATTTAGACTCTAATATGATGGTTATTAACTGCCAATCAATCATAATTGTTAACCATATGTGTTAATCGCCAATACTGTGAAAATGTATTTTCACTTATAATATCTAAATTGGTGTTTGTTTATGGGTTTGAACTTTTTTTTTTTCATCGACATTATACCATTATACCAATTTCACTACTAGAAACATGGGTTTTAGCGACGGAAAAATCCGTCGCTATTCCGTTGCTAAATGTTGTTTGCAATGGATCGGCGACGGATTCACTCCATAGGTAATAAAAAAGTGGCTAATTTCTCAGCGAGGGTTTTAGCGACGGATCGGTTTTTCCTTGCGACAAAGGTTGCGACAGATTCACTCCATAGGTAATAAAAAGGTGGCTAATTTCTCAGCGAGGGTTTTAGCGATGGATCGGTTTTTCCTTGCGACAAAGGTTGCGACAGAATATCCGTCGCTAAATGTCACTCAATGCATTCCGTCGCTGCTCTGTCGCAAATTTCCATGAACAGTTTTTTTTTTTTTTTTTTTTTTTTTTTTTTTTTTTTTCGTAGCTAATCCCTTGCAAAATTCATATACTATTTTTTTTTTCCGTCGCTGATCTATCGCAAACTTTAGACATGAACTTTTTCGTCACTAATCCCTTGCAAAATTCATACATTAAATTTTTTTCCTTTCCGTCGCTGATCCGTCGCACTCTTTAGACATGATTTTTTTCCGTAGCTAATCCCTCGCAAAATTCATGCATTAAAATACTTTTTATTTTCTCACCACGAACTTGTAATATCATTTTTTTTATTATGATTCTAAAAGAAAAAAAAATACTACAATCATCAAATTATTATACTAAAGAACATCAAATAATGATACAACCAAGCATTACAATACCAAAACTATCAAAGTTTACCAAAGTGTCATTCAAGAAACATCCAAAAACGAAACTACCCACATAACATCAAACTCCCAATGGTTTAACTTTAAATTAACATTTTAGCACCAAGAAATCCAAAGTATGCAAAAGAGGTACAAACAGAAAAAAGTTTAACCTTCAAAATAACATTTTAGCTGCTCTCTTCATTTCATGTCCATCCAATCATCTTCGGTTGTCATTCCTATAAAACATTATTCAAAACAATGAAAAACATCAAATACAAAAGGTTAACAAGTCATTCAAAACCATCAAATACTAATGGTTAACATCATATTACCTCTACTTTTCAATTTCCCGTCATATTTTGCAAGGCTGCATACATCTTCTCCATTGCTTCATATTTTGCATCAATTTGTTGTTGTTTGGCATCTATTGCTGCAACTTTGGCATCCATTTCCTCACGCATTTGTTGATGTTTAGCTTCCATTTCTGCAGCTTTAGCATCCATTTCGCCACGCATCTCATTTCGTACACGTTCATAGACAACCTAAAGTACAATACCATGATAGGAAACTTTGTAAGTACAATGCCATGATAGGAAAATTTGTAAGTATAATGCCATGATAGGAAACTTTTTAAGTACAATGCCATGATAGGAAAATTTGTAAGTATAATGCCATGATAGGAAACTATGTAAGTACAATGCCATGATAGGAAACTTTGCAAGTATCATACCATGATAGAAAAACTTTGTAAGTACAATGCCACGATAGGAAACTTTGTAAGTACAATGCCATGATAGGAAACTTTGTAAGTACAATGCTATGATAGGAAATTTTTATAAAGTACAAAATTAAATGAACCTCTTGGGATGTTATTGTACTAGATGTTCCTTCCAAAAAGCTCGCTGGATCAGACACATATCCGAATCCATATATTCTTCCTTTCTTGACTCCTCCGGAAACATCACACCATGTTTCATTATCCAAGAGGGGGTGGCAACTAGTATCATCACCAAACTTAGCCACCATAGCACTTTCATAAGCCTCCTATTATAGCAAAAAAAAAATGAAAAAATAGAAACATGAAATAAGGAATGGAATGGTTCATTCCATCCCATTAAATTCATAATACTCAAACCTTGCATAAAGTTGATTACTACTTACAAAACACATAATTACAACTAGGCAGAGGATCAAACATTTAGAGATAATAATTTGTTTCTTTTCTTTTGTAAGTTGATTACTACTTACGAAAGATTTGTTTTCTGTCAATTAGTTGCTTTAAAAAAGTCAGTAACCCAAGTAGTAGGAAGTTTTGTTTCCTACAAAAGAATTGAAAATACCTTAACTTTAGCTGCCTTTGGTGTAATGTACTCTTGAGTAGACCCTTTAGTGTGCAACCTTGCATAAAGTTCAACTCCTGTAGGAGGGAGTTTAAGCATTGCTTGCTACAAAATCCATTAGTAATACATTAAAAAACAAAACAAAAACTCAACAGTCTAAGTGGAAACTAACGTGAGATGAAAACATCTTACCATTCTTTTCTTATGTTGACGAATAGATATAGAACCCCCGGTATGTTTGGAAACAGAGCTATCTTCTAATTTATTTAGTTTGTTTTTCCCTGATTGTGATAAACGTTTCCATTTGGATGTGGTCCACACTTCATTGATCATTTTTTCCCAATACTCCTTTTTTATCCAATTTGGGCGATAGTCCTTTAGCAAATTTAAATCACCTTCTAGTAAGGCATTCACATTTGCAGCTTTGGCAAGTTTTAAAGATGCTTCACGTGCTCTTCGCATTACATCAGGAAATCGTTTCTTCATACAGTCTTCCCATACCTTGCGAGCAAGAACATCAGTCTATTCGGGCCAAACATACAAACCCTACATGTAGATCGCGCATACAATTATCTTTTTCATTTTATACCAATTTTTACTTACACAAATCATAAAAATAATAAGTACAAACCTTGAAGTGTTCCCACATTTCATCAAGATGTTCTTTGTCAACCATCTTCCATGAGGTCCATAGGCCGTCAAACATCGTCTTCAGTATACATGTGATGGCTCTGATCACTGAAATCTGATCCGTAAATCTTGCAAAAAATTAAAAATTAAAAAATTAGCATTAGTATTATCATTAACAAGTAAATTCATTTTCATAAACAATTGTAAAATTAAATTTAGTACTCCTTTTCAGAATCGACTTCAATGAACTTCCTTTTTGATGGGTTACTTGGAACTTGTTCCAAGATGTTTGATCCTCTAACTAAAGAAGAAGGTTGACTTTCTGCATCATTGTATGATTGGGATGCATTTCTGTCTCCAGCAACACGACCACTAATGTGACTACCACTGCGACCACCACCATGGGCTCCTCGTTGCGCCTTTAGTCAAAAAGTAACCCTTAAAATCAAGAATTAATAAACTATTGGTTAGAACAAGTATGTATTATAATAGAAAATTATAGAAGTAAGAGAAGGTAACATGCTATAATACACAAATAAATGAAATTGCAATGTATATAAAAAAAGAAAACGATCATTTTAACTAAAAAGTTATTTATAAGGTCCATTAGGCAAAATATATAGTTCCAAATACATTGTTTCATTCTACATTTTTAGTAATTACTCATCATCAGAATTATCATCACATGTGTTTTCATCTTCAATATCATATTCGGATAAATCATCCAAGTTATCATCAACTTCTTCATCCTCTTCTCTCTCAATGTCATTGTCATTAACTTCTTCTATTTCTACTTCAATTACATGAGAAAGGGGTCCTGCCACCTCATTTGCACCGCTACTTGTAAAAGGTAAAGTTGCTTCACTTTCTTGAAAGAATTGGTCCTCTTCATCCTCATCGTCATCTTCTTCAGTAACACATTGTCGTAGATCATATACACCCCTTGGTTTCGTCTTGACGACAGCCCACCAATCTTTCAAATCCTTCATTGCAGGATATGGTAAATAATACACTTGTTCTGCTTGTGACGCTAGGATAAACGGATCTTCATTTCTTAGCCTTGATTTGTATTTAATATCAACCAAATTATGCTTTTGATCCACACGTACCCCTTCAGTAGGGTTAAACCATGTACACTTGAACAATACTACGACACAACGCCCTATGCCTTGATATTCTACTTCCAAGACCTCATCCAACAACCCATAATAGTCACACTCAGTCTCATTGTAACAAGTACCTCTTACACATACACCACTATTGTGTGTGACCAGTCCATCACCATATTTTTCAGTATGAAACTTGTAACCATTGAAAAAGTATCCTTTATAGGACCTAACATGTCGTAATGGTCCTCGTGCAACGCATTTCAGATGTTGATTGATATCATTTGATTGTTGAAAAACCTACATTGATAAATTCATTTGTTAACTAATTCATAGGGGAAGACACTTTGGTAATACAAAATTTTCTCGTATCATACTCACATGATCTTTAAACCACTTAGCAAAATGTTGTTCCCTAAACCTTTCAAATGCTCCATCATCTATATCAGGTTGGCTTTGGATCACATAATTTTCAAACAACCTTAAAAAAAATAACAAAAATTTTAGAGTTTCACGAAGTCAAGGAAAAATAGATAACTTGACATACCTTAAAAAAGGTAGAACCTCAACACAATTGATCAAGATGTAATTATGAGCAATACGCATCTCATCATCTGTCAAAGGCCTCCGTTGACCACTTTTTTCGAATAATCTTCGAGATGGAACTTTGATAATGCTTAATCGAGAGTCGACCATGGTATAAATAGGAATGTCTGGGGCAAAATTACGTGACTCACGATTCAACTGGGTTTCAATTGTAGGCAAAAAGTATTGTGAGCAAAAAGTCGATATTTCTCCAATCATGTAAGCCTCAACAATGGACCCCTCAACCTTCGCATGGTTTTTTATCTTTCTTTTCATTGATCCCAATTTCCTAAAAAGATGTTGGAAAATACTTATTAGAAATTCTATAGGTTTTATGGTAGAATATTTTGTATGGTAAAAAATATACCTTTCAGAAAGATACATCCACCTATATTGAACCGGACCACCAAGCATAGCTTCTCGAGCTAAGTGGATAACAAGATGCTCCATTGAATCAAAGAATCCAGGTGGAAATATTTTTTCCAACTTGCAAATGGTTTCAACAATAGTAGTTTGCAAGCGTTGTAAGTCATCTACGCGTAACACCCTTGAACATATTACACGAAAGAATGTACACAACTCTGTAATTGCATCCCATGTTGAGTTTGGCACCATACCTCTTAGAGAAGTAGGCAATAATCTTTGAAGAAATACATGGCACTCATGAGTCTTGAATTTGTAAAAGCTATATATATATATATACTATCTTATAAAAGAAATGTCACTATTTCTATAAATAGATTCAATATAATAATAATATTTTTTAAATTGTACAAAACATGAAGAATAAAGTACAATTAACCAATGCATATGAAGTTCTTATAGCATGTTTGACCAAGTTCTTTAGTCATGATGTGAAAAAGTCAAGATAAGAATTATAAGAATTAGTTGATGGTTTATTAGCAGGCCTTTAAAATTTGAATTAGTATTCTTCATTTTCAGCCACTTGAATAGGTCAAACCTCACTTTCAACCACTTGAATCGATCAAACGCAGCTATATTAACACATCTTTGAAGATTGATCTCTAACTCTCTCTTCGTCTCTTTCTAGATCTACAAGAAACTCAATCGCTACCCTCATCAGAAACCAATCACCACCATCATCAGATCATTTACCACCCATCGCCATCTCCGCCTTCAGTCTCTGTCGGAAAATATGTATGCCGGAAAATATGTATTAGTCCCTCGATTAAATGTTCTTCTGGATTTCCTTTTTCAAAGCTCTAATCTCAGGTACCATTTCCAACCATCGATCACCACCACCCCTTGATTTGTTCCGTCTCTTTATTTTTTTAGGTTTTAAGTTGACTTGCAAGTACGATTGAGAGAACATAGGAATGGTCATGGTGTTCCAGTGACGATACTGCAATACAAGTGAAAACACAGAGCTTTTTATTGATGCTTAATAACCATACTAGCAACGAAACATCTCCAATGATCTCCTTACTCCCGGTGAAGAACATGACCAAAGAAAGCTAGATTTGTATTTTTTTCATAACTTTCACTGTATGGTTTCGGGTGTCGTTGTTACGCCCGCCCATTGAATTCAATATCTTCTTTCTCTCACTCTCCTCTCTTGAAATTTAGATATGATGAATGATCATTATAAAGGATTGATGTATCCCCATATCTCGACCCCTCTGTTGCTTAAGGCTCTACCAATCATCTTGAAAACCTACCTACTAAAAGCTCTATATGCGTGTGATCTCAAAAATCCACAAAATCATTTGTAAAAAGCATGAAATCCCAGTAGTGGCTACTTTACTATACACCTTTATCCACCACTCCACTCCCTGCCCTAATCCATTTTTCCCTCTTAGACAAAGACGATGATTTTTTTCTTTAAATAATTTTGATTTTATTTTTTCCATTGATTTTGATTTTCTGTTTCGATTGGTTGGAGGTTGGATCTATGGTGGGTTGTAGACGAAAAGTTTCTTCTAATTTGATTTGGATTTATGATGTTATCTAAGGTAAATTTCATTTGTTCTTCTTTGTAATTTTCTATTTCCTTTAATTTATCTGTGATGGGAGATGGAGAAGATTATTGTTATTGCGTTGCTACTCCGATACTAACCCTCCCGCTCTTTTTACGCATACACGCACCACCACAACTCACCCCTGAAGATAGACCTTTGAAGAAACCTACCATCTTGGCTGCATGTATCTTCACTTAATTTATTGTGTATCATCTAGCATTATCTTTTCAAGTTTTTTGTAGGTGTTGATAGAGGATTTGATAACCAAGAACCCCGAATATGGTGAAACTTATGACATAGTAATTCTTCAAGATTATGCAACTTTCTCATTTCCTTTAGTCTCATTACCTGAAAAGGTACGATTGGTGGCAGATGGAATTTTAATTGATGAAGGTGTTAGAAGGAAATAATAACTTGCATCATGGACAATTGATAAAAAAAATGCAAATTAGTGACTATGAATGTATGTATACGATTTTCTACTATTTTTGCTGTATTATTCTTCCTGTTCATATGATTTTGGAATTGATGATTCCATTGTTGTTTGATTAATTTGCTATCATTTTTGTTTTATTCAGATTCGTTGATGTTATTCCAAGGTTGATGCCATTCTTAGGCATGCAGGCTTTTGAACCTTGAGCATTTGATCCATCTTGGTTAGATATTCTAGCTTAACTCTTTGTGTATCCACTCCTTTCTGATATCTTTTAAAGTGGCATTGATGTCAAGACTAGATGCTTTGGTTATTTACTTGGTAGAAAGCATGGTGCTTTCATTTCAGAGGGTAAATCCAACCAGCATATTATTTTTTTCTCAATCTAAAAAATTTGGTGTGTTTTTTTTTTTTTTTTTTTTTTTTTTTTTTTTTTTTGTACTCTGGAATGTTCATGGCTAATACTTGGTTGCCCATGGAAAGTTCAGTGTTATTACTGGTTTACCAATTTGTTGCTTCACTCTTTTCTTGAAAGTTGGATACTTTTCAAGGATTGCCTTTGTCGGTAGCACCCTTAAACGTACAATGTTGTTAAGTGCATTGATATTGGTGCTTTTTCCCTTGATATTGCTAGGCTTATGTTGGGTTGCCCTTTGAATGTTGGTTCATAGTAGAAGTACATAGTTATCTCTGGTTTGCCATTGAAAGTTCAAATCTATTACCAACTGGTTCTCTTGAAAATGTAGTTGTTTGTTGTTGTTGTATGTATTTTATTTTATATTTTTATGTATTTATACGTTTTGTCCCACTGGCTGCACTTTTTTTATAATAATAATTTTATTTCAAAAAAAAAAGTTTGTATGTGACTTAAGTGTGTGTGAGGGAGTACTGACATGTTTACTATAATGTAATTAGTTGCTACAATTGGATTTTGTTGTATGGTATTCTTTATTTTAGGGTGTTTTATGATCACTGTATTGTAGTTCTATATGCTATATTAGTTTGTTATAGTTGGATCTGGTCAGTTTAATGTAAGTCATTTTATTTATGAGTTTACGGATGGAGTCGACAGGTTGGTTGTGTGTTTCTTAAAAAGGTTTTAAGGAAAAGATGATAGAGTCATTTTGAACTCTGGGCTTCGCTTTGATGTCCATTTTTAGTTGATCATATTGTCTTGCCTTAATTCTCAAAATGTTGGAATTCCTTTCCATTTTGATTCATATTTTTATGTTATTTTATTGGTAATGTGTATATGTTTATGACTAAGCCCTAAGTTCTTAACATCATTAACTGATGACATAATTTTGTAGTGTATGCACTTAAACATCTATATTTTACCAAATTCCTTCATTTGGAGCATCTCCTGAGTTTGAAAGCGAATTATCACCTTAAGGTTCTTGAGATATTACTTAATTTTATGTTATTTTTTTTATATTTATTTATTATCTATCGCTTAACAAAACAAAACTCAATGTGGAGAATAGTAAAGTGGAATGACATATTATTCAAGACGTTTGAGAGACCGAAGCATAAAAGGAAAGTTGAATTAACTGGGAAGTCAAAGGAAAGTTGAATTAACTGGTAGGGTCATAAATGGAAAGTTGAAGATGGTTGAATATGTTTTAGAAGGGGTATAACTGGGAAGTCAAAGGTTAAGTTGAAAGTCAAACTATGACATGGTTGTAAGCGAAATTGATGTTATATTAGTTGAAGTCAAGATACGATGGGGAGAATAGCAATTTGTGTTGATAATGTTTGTTTCATGAAATATTGTTGGGTAAAAGAGAGCTAATGGTAGGCAGAACTAGAAACTATAAGGAGAACAAATTCATCTAGATTATATTAACCAATGGTTTTTCTAAAGCCTAAAAGTATTATTGAATTAAATTATAGTATATAACATTACCTTACGTTTTGATAGTTAACTGAGACATTTATTTTAGGACAAATAATTAATAGGCAAGTGTATTAGCAATATAATATTGAAATCTCACCAATTAAATTAAATTTTATATGTAAGCTTTTTATGATAAGTTTTAATGTATAATTGTCATGATCGCCATAAGTTTGTATTAAATATATGTTAATTTAAGCACAAAAGTACTCATTTTGGAAAATTACTTTTCCTTCCTTGAATCTAAAATGTGAGATCTATGTCATATAGGTTTTGGTAAAAATAACAAATGATTTACTTTGTTAGATTATACCTCTTCTTATTTTAAACATAATCTGGTTTATAGTTCAATTGTATATAAAATAAATGTCAGAAATAATTAAACGAAAACCTATGTGTAAAACTTAAAACACAGGGGGTTTCACACAAAAGTTAAAGTTGGTATAATTTTTGCATTTAGCTAAGTTCGTGGAAATTTTTGTGTCGTGCCGCATGTTTTTTAGAGTACAACATCTTTCATTAAAAATTTGTGTCGTGCGACATGATTTTTGTTAACATATTAAGGACCTAACTCATTGGCTTCAACAAACGCCACCCAACATAATCTAACAGTTGCCAACTGCCTCATTCCCCGAAATTACACACATCCATCTATGATTGTATCCTTCCCTGGCATACTAGACCGCCATCTCGGGTTTGTTGAAAGATCTACATCCTTGCAGTCTCATTCTGCTAGATTTCTGTTTTAAAGCCTCATTCCCCATCCACCCATTGCCAAAAACATTGGTTCTACAAAAGTAGGTGCGATGCTTGATCAGAAACAAAAAAGTCAACACCCACAGTTAATGAGGTCAAAAAGTCGAGTTGTTGTAGTTAGAGCCATCCATAACCACTTTGGAGCAAATGTTGAGTAAAGAGAAGTTGTGGCTGGAGGATGAATTAGAAGTGTTTCCAGGAGTAGACATGTGAAAAGAAAGATAGTTTTAGTTAGATTTCAAGATACCTCAATATAATAACCCAAAGATATCATATCAATGTTAGGATCCAGCTATGACGATTTACAACTTAGAAATGGGATGCTAAGATCCAAGTTTAAATCTCATAAAGGTAGGTGAATGACGATTCACCAATTCCACCATTAGACAAAATAAACGAAGTGAAATTCCTAATTCCTTTTGAGATACATTGAAACTATTCAATGACATGTTTTAATCTCGGATTATGCTATTCTATTTGTGACTGGGATACCGAGGATCACAAATTAGATGTGAATAACCATGCAAATGTGCTTGGTAACCTCATTGTGTTTATCACTAACTATTGATGTGCCGGTAAACCACAAACGCTCCATCAACATGATAATTATGAGATACCCATTACTACTCTTTATTAGTG